TGGCCAGGGGAAAAATGTCACTTTTCCGGGTGTGCCGGAATGCCCATGACCTCCCTGGACGATTCAATGTGCTCCTATCCCTCCAGAACAATTTCACTTACTCACAAGAGAGATTTTTCTTTTAAAAAAAAAATTAGAATGTTCAAAACATCAGGAGGTTTCAGGGCATTATATCCGCTGCCAAGGAAAGGGGTGGTTTTTTGTTTTTGTTTCTACCCGTGGGAAGAGCTCCGTTCCGCCCCCACCACCCTTAAGTAGCTACTTTCTATAACCTGATTCAAGTCCAGCCACACCTTAGAGAGACCGAGATATTCAGGGTACGAGCTTTCAGGGTACAAGAGATTCAGGGTACGAGCCAGTTTGGTGTAGTGGTTAAGTGCGCGGACTGTAATCTGGGAGAACCAGGTTTGATTCCCCACTCCTCCACTTGCAGCTGCTGGATGACCTTGGGCAAGCCGTAGTTCTGTCAGAGCTGTCCTTGAAAAACAGCAGTTTCTGTCAGAGCTCTCTCAGCCCCCCCCTGCCTCACAGGGTGTCTGTTGTGGGGAGGGGGAGGGAAAGGAGTTTGTAAGCCGTTCTGAGACTCCAAGTGAAGGGCGGGGTATGAATCCAGTCTCCTCTTCTTCTTCTTTTTTAAAGATTTCATAAACTTTATTGAAGTTCAAACAATACATCGATAAAGCTCCCTTCCTCAAATACCTACGGATTTCCACTCCACACAGCTGTATGTGGTGCTTTCCCTAAGGATTGCTTCAGAGGCCAGCCGTGTTGGGTCTGCAGTAGGAGAGCTGGATGTGACCAACCAGATTTTCAGGGTATGAGCTTTCGAGAGCCAGAGCTAGGAAACTGTTCTGCCACAGGTATTTTGCTCCACGAGATGCTCCCCGTGGAACCTGGACAGCCCTTTCAAGCACTTTCCCACAGTTATCTCGCTGCACGATGATCAGTATTGAGCGAGTGGAGACTAAAAGAGTGACTTTCCTGTGGCCACCTAGTGAACTCACGGCAGGGGTGAGATTGGAATCGGGGACATCGCTGGGCACAGGTGAGTTCCTTTGCCACTGCGTTCCCATGAGCATTCAAAAGACAGAGAAAAAGAGATTGGGTTTATACCCCGCCCTTCACTACCTGAAGGAGTCTCAGAGTGGCTGACAATCTCCTTTCCCTTCCCCTCCCCACAACAGGCACCCTGTGAGGTCGGTGGGGCCGAGAGACCTCTTCCGAGGACTCCTCTTGAGGGAATAGCTCTGACAGAACTACGGCTTGCCCAAGGTCATCCAGCAGCTGCAAGTGGAGGAGCGGGGACTCAAACCCGGTTCTCCCAGATTAGAGTCCGCACACTTAACCACTGCACCAAACTGGCTCTCAAGTTCGTCTCTCCCAAAAGGGAATTTATTTATGATACAGAAGCCCCCTTTTACTCCATGGTACAATTTAAAATGTGACAAAGCACTGCGGAGATTTAATCCACACATTTCTGCACCCTTACGTGTATAGTGTAACTTTTTTAAAAAATAACTTCCTTAGCTTCAAAACCCCTTAATGAAAAGCACACTTGCTGGCTTAAACCAAAACTTCTCTAGCTCAACTTCCCAGTTCCGGCAGCAGCAGCAGTTAGGTATCTCTGGGAAGCATACAAATTGGGGGACGGGGGAGATGCGACAACCCTTACCTGCTGTGGATCTCCTGAACCTGCCATTCAGAGATACACTGCTCCTGTACACAGAGGTTCTATTTGAGCTAACTTCCACCGATAAGACTCACCCCTTCCAAAGAACTCTAGCACATCGCAAAACAACTGGAGTATGTGAATGTCCTAGCATATGTGTTCTGAAAGAACATGACATTAATTTGGGAAGGGCAGAAGCCCGTAGGACATGGGTCTCCAACGTGGCACCCACTGACATTTTTTCCTGGCACCCGGAAAGTGTTGGACAGTTCCCTCAAGGAAATACAATGGGATGCCTCACCTCGCCTGCGAATTCAAATACTCCCAAAGCAACTGTGCGCTGCAGAGAAAGGAGGTAGCAATGTCTAAGCTCCCTTTTAGGGAACGCACATGAATCTGCCTTATACTGAATCAGACCTTTTTCATAGCCATAGGGCTGGAAGGTACCTCTACGGTCATCTAGTCCAACCCCCTGCACAATGCAGGGAATTCACAAATACCTCTCCCCCCTCACCCCGTGACCCCTGCCATGCCCAGAAAAGGGCAAAAAAAAAACCCCACCAAAAAACCCCTCCAGGATCCCTGGCCAAACTGGCCTGGAGAACAACTGCTTCCTGACCCCAAAGTGGCGCTCATCAAATCCGTCAAAGACAGTAATGTCTACTCAGACTGGCGGCGGCTCTCCAGGGTCTCAGGTGGAGGTCTTTCCCATCACCTGGTCCTTTTAACTGGAGATGCCGGGGACTGAACCTGGGACCTTCTGCGTGCCAAGCAGAGGCTCTGCCACTGAGCCACAGCCCCTCTTTACAGCTCTCCGGGGTCTCAGGCGGAGGTCTTTCCCATCAACCCCTGCATGGTCCTTTTAACTGGAGGTGCCGGGGACTGAACCTGGGACCTTCTGCATTCAAGGCAGAGGCTCTTCCACTGAGCCACAGCCCCTCTTTACAGCTCTCCACTGGGTCTCAGGCAGAGGTCTTTCCCATCACCTCCTGTCTGGACCTTTTAACTGGGATGAACCTGGGACCTTCGGCCTGCCAAGCAGACTGAGCCACAGCCCCTCCCCAAGCGTATCTGTCATCATATCGTCTGAGAAATATGGGTGCTGGCCTTTCCGTTCTTGATTACCTTTTCATCCTGGTCCGGCACAGGCCTTTGGAACAAAACATTCTTGGTAAAACACAGGAACTGGGTAAGAGAAATGCTGCAGCCACAGTGAACCTTCCCTACAATCTGAATTTCAAGAATCAGAACTCTGAAATTCAGAGGATACCTGGACAGACGACGCAGTGAGAAGCATCCTAATGGCGAGAGAGGTCTGACCCTTGAATCAGTTACCCAGGGAGGGGGGTGGGCTCTTAAGAACACAAGAGAAGCCAAGGTTGGATCAGGCCCATGGCCCATCCAGTCCAACACTCTGTCAACACAGTGGCCAAAAATACCAGGTGCCATCAGGAGGTCCAGCACTGGGGCCAGGACACCAGAAGCCCTCCTGCTGTTGCTCCCCCCCCCCAAGCACCAATAATACAGAGCATCCCTTGCCCCAGACTGAGAGTCCCTATCTAGACCTTGTGGCTGATAGCCACTGATGGACCTCTGCTCCATATGCTTATCCAATTCCCTCTTGAAGCTGTTCATGCTTGTAGCCGCCGCCACCTCCTGTGGCAGTGAATTCCACATGTTGATCACTCTTTGGGTGACGAAGTACCTCCCTTTATCCGTTCTAACCTGACTGCTCAGCAATTTCATGGAGTGCCCACGAGTCCTTGTGTTGTGAGACTTCTTTCTCTACCTGCTCTATCCCACGCAGAATCTTATAAACCTCGATCATGTCACCCCTCAGCCGTCGTTTCTCCAAGCTAAAGAGCCCCCAAGTACTTTAACCTTTCTTCATATGGAAACTGTTCCAGTCCTTTTATCATTCTAGTTGCCCTTTTCTGCACTTTTTCCAAGTGCTATAATATCCTTTCTGAGGTGTGGTGACTAGAACTGTACACTCTTCCTCACTGAAGGTCTGAAGACAGAGGCAGAAGGGGGGAGGCTATTTGCAGGGGGTGCTCTGGTTTTGGATTTCCTGCATTCGGCAGGGGGTTCTGCTAGACAGTCTCTAAGGCACCCTCCCACCTTTATACTTAGAACTGCACACAGAGGGCTAAACACAGATTGCTCCGCCGTCAAAGCAGCTTACAATCCAAAACCAATTACCACTCTCACCTGACGGTTTTAAATAAAAGGTTTATTGGAGAAGTTACCTTGATGAACCAAAAAAAAGCAAGTTCCATCCTTATTATTATTTAAAAAAGCAAAGATTTGTTGTCTTTGTGCCCTTAGGAGGTGAACTCAAAAGAAGATGCTCTGGAGGAGATCTTGCCGCCACGGTTCTGCGAGGCGCTCTGGCATGGGTTTATTCGTGTCTGCCATCATTAAAAGTGTCACCGACACAGTCCCCGGCCACGCGCCTTTCTGGGGGGCGCGGCCCAACAAGACGAACGCTGGCACGGACGCCCGCTTTCCTCTTCACTCGGCTGTGTTGGAACCGGTATCTGGAAGCGAGAAGAGCAGAAGTTTAGGGCAGGCAGTCGAAGAGGAGAATGACGAAAAGAAAACAACCCACCCCCAGTTTAAAACACATCAGAGCTACAGTCCAGCTTGCACTGTTGGGAGGCCTTACTCCCAGTACCCTCGCAAAATGAAGAGAGGCAGGTGGCGATTTGGGATGGGGCCTTCTCAGTGGTGGCACCAATGTTACGGTACAGTTATTACTTTTTTATTTTAAGGATTGCCTGGAACATTCTTCCTTGTCACCCTGCCGCCAGGAGAAGACGCTTTTGTTCTGGTTGGCATTGGGTTGCTGCGCGTTGACTGTCCGTCTGATTGAAATTCCTGGCCAGGTTCTTGGATCTGAACACACAATCGTCCACTGAGTCTGGACTTGTAGCACACCTTCCAGAATGCCTCAGCGCCTGACTCACCACTGTTACTTGCCGTGAGTCAAATTCATGTCACAAAGGGAAACTGATGGTGTATGTGTTTTTAAGGTGCCCTTCAGTCTTTTAATGCAAGCAGATTTTCCCACAACCAACATCTATGAGCATAAGAGAAGCCCTGATGGATCAGGCCAATGGCCCATCCAGTCCGACACTCTGTGTCACACTGTGGCCCAAACCCAGGTGCCATCAGGGGGTCCACCAGCAGGGCCAGAACTCCAGAAAACCTCCCACTGTTGCCCCTCCAAGCACCAAGAAGACAGAGCAAAAGAACATAAGAGAAGCCTCATTGGATCAGGCCCCACGCTCTGTGTCATGCAGTGGCCAAATCCCAGGTGCCCATCAGGAGGGGGGCGCGGCCCAACAAGACGAACGCTGGCACGGACGCCCGCTTTCCTCTTCACTCGGCTGTGTTGGAACCGGTATCTGGAAGCGAGAAGAGCAGAAGTTTAGGGCAGGCAGTCGAAGAGGAGAATGACGAAAAGAAAACAACCCACCCCCAGTTTAAAACACATCAGAGCTACAGTCCAGCTTGCACTGTTGGGAGGCCTTACTCCCAGTACCCTCGCAAAATGAATTTATTTTTATTTTTCGCATTTATACCCCGCCCTCCCCGATAGGCTCAGGGCGGCTAACAGAGGCAAGGCAAAACCTTGCCATAATAAAAAACATAATATACATAATGATTTAAAAACATATAATAAATCTTAAAAACATCCTGAAATTGAAGAGAGGCAGGTGGCGATTTGGGATGGGACCTTCTCAGTGGTGGCACCGATGTTACGGTACAGTTATTACTTTTTTTTTAAAGGATTGCCTGGAACGTTCTTCCTTGTCACCCTGCCGCCAGGCGAAGTTCTGGTTGGCATTGGGTTGCTGCGCTTTGACTGTCCGTCTGGTTGAAGTTCCCGGCCAGGTTCTTGGATCTGAACACACAATCGTCCACTGAGTCTGGACTTGTAGCACACCTTCCAGAATGCCTCAGCGCCTGACTCACCACTGGTACTTGCCGCGAGTCAAATTCATGTCACAAAGGGAAACTGATGGTGTATGTGTTTTTAAGGTGCCCTTCAGTCTTTTAATGCAAGCAGATTTTCCCACAACCAACATCTATGAGCATAAGAGAAGCCCTGATGGATCAGGCCAATGGCCCATCCAGTCCGACACTCTGTGTCACACTGTGGCCCAAACCCAGGTGCCCAAACCCAGGTGCCATCAGGATGTCCACCAGTGGGGCCAGAACTCCAGAAAACCTCCCACTGTTGCCCCTCCAAGCACCAAGAAGACAGAGCATAAGAACATAAGAGAAGTCACGTTGGATCAGGCCCCACGCTCTGTGTCATGCAGTGGCCAAAACCTAGGTGCCCATCAGGAGGTCCAGCAGCATGGCCAGAACTCCAGAAGCCCTCCCACTGTTGCCCCCCCCAAGTACCAACAATACAGAAGATCTCCACCCCAGACATAAGAACATAAGAGAAGCCATGTTGGTTCCGGCCAATGGCCCATCCAGTCCGACACTCTGTGTCACACAATGGCCAAAACCCAGGGGCCCATCAGGAGGTCCACCAGCGGGGCCAGAACTCCAGAAGCCCTCCCACTGTTGCCCCTCCAAGCACCAAAAAGAAAGACCGTCACTGCCCCAGATGTGGACTGGATGGACCACTGGCCTGATCCTACATAGCATCTCTTATGTTCTTATCTGACGAGCAGGCTCTCATCTGTGACAGCATACACCACAGTAAACCTGAACATCTTTTTCAGGTGCTACAAAGCCCGTATTCTTGGCTCGGGACTTACTTTTTCCATCGCAGGCTACGATCTTCACTTTATCCACTTTCACCAGCTCTGTGACTTCTCTGAATTCGACATCGTTCAGTACAAACGTCCAGACGTTGTCACAAAATCTGTATGTGTTCAGTGAGCCCTTTTTTTGGGGGGGGGGGGAGAAGAAAAAGATATGAGTATTTACTATTTCGATTTGTCTGCATTCTTTATGGTCCATTTTTCTCCCTGAGACTCCAGGAGGAGTACATGCGTGACACAACCAAACTTGACAGAAACGTCCCTCTCGGATGGCCTTGCTAGATTTCTATACTCGAGGCCTACCAAATAATAACCCGCAATTCTGAAAAGAATGTATTTTGGTGCCCATGTGTTCAGTGAGCCCTTTTTTTGGGGGGGGGGGGAGAAGAAAAAGATATGAGTGAGTATTTACTATTTAAATTTGTCTGCATTCTTTATGGTCCATTTTTCCCACCGAGACTCCAGGAGAAGTACATGCGTGACACAACCAAACTTGACGGAAACGTCCCTCTCAGACGTCCTTGCCAGTGTTCCCCCTAAGCGGAGTTAGTGTGAGCTAGCTCACAATTTTTGTGGCTCTAGCTCACACATTTTTGTCTTAGCTCAGGAAGGAGGGCTCCAGAGCCAACTAATTTATGCAGCAGCCAAATCGCTCGCTCACACCTTTAATTCCAGCAGCTCACAAAGTAGAACTTTTGCTCACAGGACTCCACAGCTTAGAGGGAACATTGGTCCTTGCTAGATTTCTACACTCGAGGCCTACCAAATAATAACCCGTAATTCTGAAAAGAATGTATTTTGGTGCCCTCCTGTGGTGATTCAGGGAATCAGACAGTAAACGGGGGAAAAACAAGAATGGAGGAAATGCAGCCACTCCAGTAGAGGGAGATGCGTTCCGCTTCAGCCCCTCATTTACGTTTCAGCTCAGCTAAACTGTTCCACCTGCTTCGTGCTATTATCTCTTCCTGCCTGCCGAAATAGAAAACCAAAAGATGCAAGCTAGCCTGGCTACACATTCTCCTCCCTCACTGCTTCCCGACCCCATCTTAAAAAGGACAACTTTTAAGTTCCCAACAAGGAAGATCACAATTGCGGGAGTGAAGAATGTAGGGAACAGCCAAAGCATCGTAATAACACTGGATTTAAGGGGAGAAAGACAATGCTGGTCCTGAGACTTTGCCTCAAGACAGTTAAAGAGTGGCATTAGAAAAGAGCAAGGGTCCAGTAGCACCTTAAAAGACTAACAAAAGACGCGGCGTATATATGGCAAAATATGTAACAAAACTATCTGTTGGTTTTTAAGGTGCAACTAGACTCTTGATCTTTTTCTACTGCTGCAGACAGACTAATGCGGCCACCCATCTTGGTCTATCTTAAGGAGTGGTACATTCGGTTTAATTCCATCAGCACCACCAAGAAAGAGCAATATAAGGTAACAGAAGCTTTGCATTAGGTTAACAACGTTGCTTAGATAGTTTCAAACACTTGGGTGTTAATAGCACAAGGAAGATCACAATTGCGGGAGTGAAGAATGTAGGGAACAGCCAAAGCATCGTAATAACACTGGATTTAAGGGGAGAAAGACAATGCTGGTCCTGAGACTTTGCCTCAAGACAGTTAAAGAGTGGCATTAGAAAAGAGCAAGGGTCCAGTAGCACCTTCAAGACTAACAAAAGACGCGGCGAATATATGGCAAAATATGTAACGAAACTATCTGTTGGTTTTTAAGGTGCAACTGGACTCTTGATCTTTTCTACTGCTGCAGACAGACTAATGCGGCCGCCCATCTTGGTCTATCTTAAAGAGTGGTACATTTAATTCCACCAGCACCACCAAGAAAGAGCAATATACTGTAACAGAAGCTTTGCATTAGGTTAAAAAACATTGCTTAGGTAGTTTCAAACACTTGGGTGTTAATAGCATATTATTATTATTATTATTATTTACACTAAAGCACTAATAATGAATATAAACAATGTGTAGACTCTTCTTAAGAGCCCTGCTGGATCAGACCAGGGGTCCACCTAGTCCAGCATCCTGTCTCACCCAGTATCCAGCCAGTTCCTCTGGAGGGCCAGCAACAGGGCAGAGAGGCCGAGGCCTTCATAAGAACATCAGAAGAGCCCTGCTGGATCAGACCAGTGAGGGTCCATCTAGTCCAGCATCCTGTCTCACACAGTGGCCAACCAGTTCCTCTGGAGGGCCAACAACAGGGCAGAGAGACTGAGGCCTTCATAAGAACATCAGAAGAGCCCTGCTGGATCAGACCAGTGAGGGTCCATCTAGTCCAGCATCCTGTCTCACACAGTGGCCAACCAGTTCCTCTGGAGGGCCAACAACAGGGCATGGAGGCTGAGGCTCTGGGATGGTTTAGTAGCCATTAATGGACTTATCTCTCCCTCTACCTACAGCTCTGCTGATGCTTCTACTGGTGATGGCGGAAGGCGCCACTGAGTCACAGCCAGCATCTGGCGATCCCGTAGGATTTTCAAGGCAAGAGAGGAGCAGAGGTGATTTGCCACGGCCTGCCTCTGCACAGCAACCCTTGACTACCTTGGTGGTCTCCCATCCAAATACTAACCAGGGCTGATCCTGCTTAGTTTCTGAGATTTGCTGAGATTGGGCCAGCCTGGGCTACCCAGGTCAGGGCATGCTTCTCCTGCTAATTAATTAATTTATTTATTTATTCAAATGTATAGCGCTCCCTCCCCGCAAGCGGGCTCAGGGTGGCTCACAAATAGGGCAACACATGCCAGTCGTCAAAACAGTAAAAACAAGATAAAACTGACATTTACAACAACATAAAGTACTCTAAAAAGGTAAAGGTTTCCCTTGCTTGGGCCAGCCTGGGCTACCCAGGTCAGGGCATGCTTCTCCTGCTAATTAATTAATTTATTTATTTATTCAAATGTATAGCCCTCCCTCCCCGCAAGCGGGCTCAGGGCGGCTCACAAATAGGGCAACACATGCCAATCGTCAAAACAGTAAAAACAAGATAAAACCGACATTTACAACAACATAAAGTGCTCTAGATGTTACAAAAAGATCTTCAATCACAAGAGGGTATCCCGGAGATGGTAGTCCCAGTTCCGTGGCCCCCTGGGAATGTTAGTATCAATTCAGTGGTATGGGTTCCACGTGGTATTATAAAGTAACTTGTCACAGGGCCATCAGACGCCCCAATGTTACCGAACCCAGTTGTTGTTGGTGCGGCAACAATGGTGCGATGATGATGATGCAGTAGTGGTGGTACGGTAGTGGCGGCTCCTACTCAAAAGCCTGGCGGAAGAGCTCCGTCTTACAGGCCCTGCAGAACTGCACAAGGTCCTGCAGGGCCCGGATCTCCTCCGGGAGCTCATTCCACCAGGTAGGAGCCGCCACCGAAAAAGCCCTGGCCCTGGTTACAGCAAACCTGGCATCACCAGGAGATGTTGTGTCCCCGACCAAGGGTGGCCAAACTTGCTCAGCGTAAGACCCACACAGAATAAACGACAGATGTTTGAGAGCCGCAAAACATGAACAAATATTACGCAGACGTTTTTATCAATATATGCAAATTCACTTTTTATTAACATTAGATGTGACTGCCAAAAATAAAAACCAAAGGGGTCAAAACAGATATTGATAATTATATTCATTTGACCAATATTTGTTCGCTACTGATATTTATTTGTCTAAGAGGGAGTGAAAATGAGAGAGGTGGAAAGAAAGAAGGAAAGAGGTGGAAAGAAAGAGAGGAAAGAAAGAGAGAGAGAAACAAACAAAGCCAACAGATGGGAGGGAGGGGGAAGGAAGGGTGTGAGGGAGGGAGAAAAAGTATGCCTCCCTTTTGCTTCCCCAGCCGCCCTGCCGGGAGCCGCACAATATGTGTGAAACAGCTGCATGTGGCTCCCCAGCCACAGTTTGGCCACCCCCGGTCTATTCCATGACAAGAAGCAAGATGCATCCCGCTTTCTTACCCTGAAATTGACTCTGTTTCTGACCCGCTGCGCCAATGCGGAATTGATGGCTTTGTCAAACTGAAGTAGCACTTGAAGGGCGAGCTGAGGGGTGATTTGCTGAGACTGAAAAGGGAAGAGAGGAGGTTTTATTTAGTCATTTATTATATTGGACTTACAGCCCGCCCTCCCCTACAACAGCAGAGCTCAGGGCGGGTAACGACACGGTTAAAACCATACCATAAGTTAATTCTTAAAAACAATTAATTATTAAGCACAATTATCACAGCAATAACTTTAAAAGTCAAGTCAGAGGGTTCACAGCATGGGACGTGTGTTTTGAATTGCTACGAACATACAGACAGCCCCTTCTTTGATAAAGCTTGTGGGAAACAAGAACTCGTGGGCACTCCATGAAACTGCTGAGCAGTCAGATTAGAACAGATAAAAGGAAGTCCTTCTTCACCCAAAGAGCGACGAACAAATGGAGTTCACTACCACAAGAGGTGGCGGCGGCTACAAGCACGGACGGCTTCAAGAGGGAATTGGATGAACATATGGAGCAGAGGTCCATTGGTGGCTATCAGTGTTCCCTCTAAGCTAAGTTAGTGTGAGCTAGCTCACCGTTTTTTAGCCTCCGGCTCATGCATTGTTGTCTTCGCTCAGGAAGGATGGCTCCAGAGCAAAGTAATTTATGCAGTAACCAAATTGCTTGCTTGCCACTTTAATGCCAGTGGCTCACAAAGTAGAATTTTTGCTCACAAGACTCCACAGCATAGAGGGAACATTGGTGGCTATTAGCCATGAGGTATAGATAGGAACTCTCAGGCTGGGGCAAATGATGCTCTGTATTCTTGGTGCTTGGGGGGGGGGCAACAGTGGGAGGGCTCCTAGTGTCCTGGCCCCACTGCTGGACCTCCTGATGGCCCCTGATATTTTTGGCCACTGTGTGACAGAGTGTTGGACTGGGTGGGCCACTGGCCTGATCCAACATTGGCTTCTCTTATGTTCTTATGAAACGGGACTGTCACTTAGCTAGCTTGCCTGTAACACCAGAGGAGGTGGGGACCAAATTTCCCTTTCAATGGGAGACCACTGGATTACTTTGTAAACCAAGCCTGTCGTTGTTGGTAACTGGCATATGGTTTTGAGCTGTGGTTGTAAATTTTGATCTATTGTCATATTTGATCAGTCTGTATTTATATGAAAACCATCAGACTTTGTTTCGGGTTTCTATGAATTCCTATGAATTTATTGCAATTTAATTTCGGTATTTCCTTTACACAGTTTTGTTTTGTTTGTATCTCTCTTTGACTGTCTTATCTCACCTTTGGATTGTTTAGTCACCCGTCGGCCTGGCAGAAGACTTCTGTTTTGCAGGCTCAGATTCCACAGGTCCTGATCTCATCTGGCGTTCCACCAGGCCAGGACCAGAGCCAAAAAAGGATCTGGCTTGGACGGAGGCTAAGCAAATGTTTTTCGGGCCAGGGATCACCAGGAAATCATTATCCACAGAGCACAGCAAACTCTGGGAGGAGATGGTCCGGGAGATATGTGGGTCCCTGACTGTGCAGGGCTTTAAAGGTTACAACCAAGACCTTGAACTTTTAGCTTCAAGGGTCAATCATATTTTAAAACAAGACACACTCTCTTCTCTAAAGAAGGGGAAAGAAGATGATGGGATTGGATTTATACCCCAACCTTCACTACCCGAAGGAGTCTTAGAGCAGCTTACAATCCCTTCCCCTTCCCCTCCACACAGCAGACACCGTGTGAGGTAGATGAGGCTGAGGGAGCTCTTTCAAGGACTGCTCCTGAGAGAACAGCTCTGAAGGAACTTGTCACTGACCCAAGGTCACAGCAGCAGCTGCACGGGGAGGAGTGGGGGAATCAAACCCGGTTCTCCCAGATTAGAGTCTGCGCACTTAACGACGACAAAACTACACTCCTTTGTGATCCATGGCCTACTAGAATTACAATGCAACATCATACCGCCACTAGCACTTTATCATGTATATGATTTTTACGATGTCTACAATTTGTGTTTTAATGTATATTTAATAATGCACGCCACCCCGAGCCTGCCTAGGGTAGGATATAAACTGAACTCTCCTCATATAAACATTATAAAGGATATAAACTGAAACTCTCTCAGCCCCACCTACCTCACAGGGCGTCTGTTGTGGGGAGGGGAAGGGAAAGGAGTTTGTAAGCCGCTCTGAGACTCCTTTGGGTAGTGAAGTGAATTAATTAAATAAAAATATATATTAAGTGTCTTGGTCTTCGGCCACACTCCTGTATGCTTAGGGATCTTTTCTCATCCCTGGGTATGCCACTGCAAATGCGTGTTTCAGGTTTCCACCAAAATAATGCCACTGTTACCTGACCACCACGCAGATGTCATGCACCACATCCTACCTGTATGAGCTCATCCAGGCTCTCTTGAAGACTGTTCCCCAGCGTGGTGTTTCTGTACAGCTGGTAGGCCATGGCTTATGAGAACGAAACAGGACCGTTACTGTTCATCCACAAAGGAGCTCGCGTTACACTTCCACTAAAAGCCTAAAAACCAAACAAGCGGTTAACACAGTTTGTATACTAATGCGCTGTTATTTAAGAATATTTACCAATCACAATCTCATACACAAAGCCACCGTATAGAAGAAGAGATTGCATTTATACCCCGCCCTTCACTACCCAAAGGAGTCTCAGAGTGGCTTACAAACTCCTTTCCCTTCCCCTCCCCACAACAGACACCCTGGGAGGTAGGTGGGGCTGAGGGAGCTCTTGACCGAAACTTCTCTTTTTTTTCAAGAACAGCTCTGACAGAACTATGGCTTGCCCAAGGTCATCCAGCAGGTGCAAGTGGAGGAGTGGGGAATCAAACCCAATGTCTTCTTCTACATAGACTGGCCACTGGTCTGATCCAGCACAGCTTTCTACATATTCTTGTATGAAAATAAAATCAGACTGGGAATTTTTTTTGGAGAGGGGGAAGGAAATCTCCCAGAACAATTTTACCTTTACAAGATCTATTGGAAGAAGAAGAGTTTGGATTTATACCCCGCCTTTCACTACCCAAAGGTATCAGAGCTACGGCTTGCCCAAGGTTATCCAGCCAGGTGCAAGTGGAGGAGTGGGGAATCAAACCCGGTTCTCTCAGATTAGAGTCCACGCACTTAACCACGACACCAAACTGGCTCCCTCAAGGAACCAGCTGCGCTGTACAACCGGAACCGGAAGGAACCGGCTGCGCTGTACAAAAGCTCACAATGGAATAAAAGTTATCCTGCATTTAAAGGTTAGGAGAGTTGGGAAGAGGAGCCCGAGGACGGCGGGGTTTAGGGGGAGGAGGGACTTCAGTGGGGTGTAACACCAAACAGTCCACCTCCCAAAGGGGCCATTTTCTCCAGGTGAACCGATCCGTTGCCTGGAGATCGGTTGTAATCCCAGGAGAACTCCAGCCAACACCTGGAGGCAGCAAACACTAAATAGAAACACTGCAAAAATCTATTTTTATAAGTGAATGTGTTCTATTTGTTCCGTCTTACAAAGTGCATTGTGTGCTGTTTATAATAGCCTAAGACAGGTATCTACATTCCTTACACGCAGTATCAACAATAACAATCAATTCAGTATAATAACTACCAGCACACATTGCACCAATTTATAAAAACAGATTTTTGCAGTGTATATACTTATTGCTTGACTCCTCTAACACTGCAGCTCGGGTTGCTACAACACCTGGAGGCTGGGAACCCTGCGCAGCCCCCGCTACAGAACAACACCAGCCTACCTCGCAGGGCTGTTGGTAAGGGTGCTAAAGGGATCACCCGACGCAGCGGACCTTCCCCGCTCCCGAAGCTGACGGAAAAGGGAAGAACAATAACCCACCAGACGCTCCTCCTTCCGCCTACCCCGGTCCTCTCGACGAGCGACCCAATCCGGAAACGGAAGTCCCCCTCACGGGCGGGAGAGGAAGCGGAAAAGGCTTCGGAAGGAGCGGGGCCATAGAGACGAACGAGGAGGACGACGACTTCGCTCGGCCGCTCTCCGGTGGAGTCTGTGGGCTAGGGAAGTACCCGGATGAGGAAAAACATGGAGACGTTGGTTGGAAGCTGGGATGGGAAGTGCCCGGATGAGGGCAAGATGGCGGCGCTGGTTGGATGGACGGATGAGAAGTACCCGGATGAGGACAAAAGGGAGGGACCGGTGGGGTTGGAAGAAGGGATGGGAAATGCCCGGATGAGGGCAAGACGGAAGCTAGGGGAAAGGAAGTAACCAAGGTGGCGGCGCTCATTGGCCGGGCGGAGGGAACCGAAGTACCCGGATGAGAACAAGATGTTTAGTTGGAGGAAGGGATGGGATGAGCGCAAGATAGCGGCGCTGATTGGCTGGGGGAGAGGAGGGAAGTACCCGGATGAGGGCAAGATGGCCGCGCTGGTGTCGGACCGGCAAGACAGGACGCAGCGGGCGCATGCTCGGCGGCCCTCGGATCAGCTGGAGGGAGGGAGCGGAGGGAGGTACCCGGATGCGGGCAAGATGGCGGCGCTGGAGGCAGCGGGGCTGGTCCAGGGGTCGTGCCGCGTCCTGCTCTTCCTCTCTCAGCTCTACGTGCTCTCTGGAAGGGGTCGGTCCATGTTGTGAACCGTGTCTGGGGCTGGCGGGGGAAAGGCGGGCTCACACCTCTTGCCAAGGCATCCAGGCTACCGACACTGAGGTCTCGTTGATGGCCAATGCGGGCTTTTCCGGGACGGGCTGGTTTGCGATGGGCCACTGTGGCTGAGGATTTATAACTCGTTTGCTGGGTCCGTTTGGGCCTCGCCTTTGTCCCCAGGGGGGACCCAGAGCGCCCCACAGCCTCCTCTCCTCCGGTTTTATCCTCACAACAACCCTGTGAGGTTACAGGTTTGCCAAACTCCAGCTGGCCCCTGGAGATAATCCAGCTTTTGCGAGTAATCTCTAGATGACTAAGGTCATCTAGAGATTAAGGCTGCTGTGGAGGGTGGACTCTGGCAGTGCTCCCTCTCAGCTGTGGAGTCCTGTGTGCAGACATTCAACTTTGTGAGCTTCTGGCATTAAAGCTGTGAGCGGGCAGTTTGGCTACATCTTAAATCAGTTTGCTCTGGAGCAATGTTCCCTCTAAGCTGTGAAGTCTTGTGAGCAAAAATTCTACTTTGTGAGCTACTGGCATTAAAGTTGTGTGAGCGAGTGATCTGGCTGCTGCATAAATTGGTTCGCTCTGGAGCCATCCTTCCTGAGCTAAGGCAAAAATGTGTGCGCTGGAGGCTAAAAAAACTGTGAGCTAGCTCACACTAACTCAGCTTAGAGGGAACACTGCTCTGGAGCCATCTCCCTTCCAGAGCGGAGACAGAAACGTGCGAGCCGGAGGCTAAAACACTGTGAGCTAGCTCACAATAACTCAGCTTAGAGGGAACACTGGACCCTGGTATTATACCCTGCCCTCCCCAGGCTCCACCCCACAAATCTCCAGGTATTTCCCAACCCAGAGCTGGCAACCCCCGTGAGGTAGGTTAGGCTGAGCATATATGGCTGGCCAAGGTCATCCAGTGAATTTCCATGGCACAAATGGGGATTTGAACCTGTGTCTTCTGGATACTAGTCCAGCCCTCCTGACTGCTGCACCACACTGGGTCTCTTTGTAGTGGCTAGAGTGCTGGACTTAGATCTGGGAGGCCCTGGTTCGAATCCCCGCTCTGCCGTGGAAACTTGCTGGGTGACCTTGGGGTGTGACCCACACTCGGTCCCACCTACCTTGCAGGGTTGTTGTGAGGATGAAATGGAGAGGAGGGGGGATGGCGTCGGCTGCTTGGTGTCCCCACTGGGAGGGAAGACAGCTGGAAAGTATATATATGAAGTAAACCATTATAATACTCTGACACTTGTCAGGGATGCTCTAGGCTGATCCTGCATCGAGCAGGGGGTTGGACTAGATAGCCTCTATGGCCCCTTCCAACTCTGTGGTTCTAGTTGCTGTAGATATGCCAAGAGTGTACTTGTTTTACTGTGTGTTACCACTGCTGTCAATATTTTTAAATGGATTAAAAATTTGTCTTGTGAGTTCTGTTGTTGTAGGTAGGTCAAGAGTCATTGTTAGTGTGTTATTGAAAATCATTGCTGATTTATTATTGTCCATTCATGCTAATGTTACTGCACAAAAGAAGCTCAGTCTTCAGAAATTTAGTGGAGAATCATTTCCACTTTTGGTTGTCTGAGCGAGGTAGCTGTGATGCTTCGCGGTCTAACCCGAGGGGAAGAGCTCCCAAATTGCATAACTAACATCCCAGGTTCAGTTCAGTTTGTCCTCCAGTCCCGTTTTCTTCTGTCATCCAGAGATTCGAACCCCAAACTTAACTCCCTGCTCCTTGGGCTGTGCCGCCACTTCCAAATAACAGTTGAAATTCTTGGAGGCTATACTTTGCCGTGTTGGCCCAAAGCAACAGCTGATGCTGGGGGGAGGGGGCCGTGGTTCAGTTGGCAGAGCCTCTGCTTGGCATGCAGAAGGTTCCAGGTTCGATCCCCAGCATCTCCAGCAGGTGATGTGAGAGACCTCTAGCTGAGACCTTGGAAGGCTGCTGCCAGTCTAAGTAGACCAAGGTTCTGATTCAGTATAAGGCAGCTTCATGTGTGATTCACCAAAAGGGAATGACATGATAGGGAGTCGCACCATGGAGCAGGTAAAAACTTTCCCCAATATTGGGTGCTTTGGGGAAGGGCCGTGGCTCAGTGGTGGAGTATCTGCTTGGCACGCAGAAGGTCCCAGGTTCAATCCCCGGCATCTCCAGTTGAAAGGACCAGGCAAGAGGTGATGGGAAAGACCTCCGCCTGAGACCCTGGAGAGCTGTAAAGAGGAGCTTTGGCACAGTGGAAGAGCCTCTGCTTGGCATGCAGAAGGTCCCAGGTTCAATCCCCGGCATCTCCAGTTGAAAGGACCAGGCAGTGGGTGATGGGAAAGACCTCTGCCTAAGACCCTGGAGAGCAGCTGCCAGTCAGAGTAGGCGATACTGACTGTGATGCACGAAGCATATGATTCAATATGAGCAGCATGTGCTCACGTATTATAGGGGAAGGGCCGTGGTCAGTGGAAGAGCATCTGCTTGGCACGCAGAAGGTCCCAGGTTCAATCCTTGGTGTCACCAGTAAGGATCAGGTGATGGGGAAGACTTCTCTGCCTGAGACCCTGGAGAGCGGCTGCCAGTCTGAGTAGACAGTAGTGACTGAGACGGACCAAGGTTCTGATTCTGTAGAAGGCAGCGTCATGTGTTCATTTGGAAAGCGGCCGTGGCTCAGTGGTAGAGCCTCTGCTTGGCATGCAGAAGGTCCCAGACTCAATCCCCGGCATCTCCAGTTAAAGGATCAGGTAGTAGGTGATGTGAAAGACCTCTGCCTGAGACCCCGGAGAGCCGCTGTCAGTCTGAGTAGACAAGATTGACCCTGATGGACCGATGGTCTGATTCAGGATAAGGCATTACAAAAAAAGGTCTTTTAATACCTTCTATTCTGGCCGATCCACGTAATGCAAAACAACATTCAACTCCAGAGTTCTCTTCATCAGCATGGGGTGCTTAACAACAACAACAAGAAGAATCCCTTGAATTAAACTTGGTATTTTGTACGTTTTACCCCTCTCCAGCTTCCTTGAGTTCCCATTCGCAAGCTCAGCTCTCTCATCCTCAAGCCCCGCGGCCAGAGGTCGGAGTAGTACCCAGAAGCACTCACGTTCCTGCTTCGAAAGTACCAGGTAAATTTCTTTTCTCCACACTTTAGTTTTCTGCTTTAGAATCAAACGGTCTCCTCTTGAACCTCGTCGGGTGCTGAGCTTGATCAAAACGAAGCTTTAAAAACTAGAGGCTTTCATTTGTGGGCCTTATCAGGCATAGAATTGGGCTGCAGAAGTGCTAGCATATCATAAAGTAAATAGCAGGCTGGGGGGGGAAACTCCATGGTCTCAGTGTCGCCTTGTGGGTTATGACAAGGTTTTGAGCGTTTCAGACAGCGTTTGTCACCCTCCACATGCAGCTGCTGGTGTGACTTTGGGTCAGTCACAAGTTCTCTCAGCTGTTCTCGAAAGAGCAGTTCTCGAAGGAGCTCTCTGAGCCCCACTTACCTTACAGGGTGTCAGTTGTCAGGAGGGGAAGGGAAAGGAGTTTGTAAGCCGTTTTGAGACTCCTTTGGGCAGTGAAGGGCGGGGGATAAATCCAATCTTTTCCTTCTTCTCTGCCGAGCACCGAAGTCTTTGTTTTATGTGGTGTTAATGCTTCAGAGCCCACGGGGACCCCTCCTTACGTGAACCTGTGCCCCAGTAACGGGCCATGCGGCCGCTTGCCTCCAGATTGCGTGAGCTGTAAAGCGAACAACAGCTGCATCTATGGAAAGCCAGTCCTTTTGGAATGTCAGGCCAAACCACGGGTTCACTGCATTGTAAGTATTAAGCGGTTAATCAGTCTGTAATCATTCCGGGTGGTTCTGTAGCACTGTTAACAGGTGCTGAGAATTTCATGTAGATCAACAGTAGTCACTGCAGTGTTGGTCTTCTTTCCCTGTTTGCGTGTGTGTTTGTTTATTTATTTATTTTGGCTTGTATTCTGCCCTCCCCTCAGAGCAAATGACGGCGGCAGGGATTAAAATATTTCACAATAAGAGTTAAGACATTTCACAATAAGTCTTTCATAGTACATAGTTGCAACAGATTAAAACAGAGCTATAAACACAGATGGCACAGCAGTTTGGTGTAGTAGTCTCAGAAACTGGAGCCACTAGGCCTTAGACCAGACGATGGGCCTTCACCCAAAGGGCTGTTTGAAGGTGGAAGGTTTCAGCAGGGACTGGAGTGTTCCCTCTAAGCTGAGTTAGAGTGAGCCAGCTCACAGTTTTTTAGCCTCCGGCTCACAGATGTTTGTCTCCGCTCAGGAAAGAGGGCTCTAGAGCAAATTAATTGATGCAGCAGCCAAGTCGCTCGCTCAGAACTTTAATGCCAGTAGCCCACAAAGTAGAATTTTTGCTCACAAGACTCCACAGCTTAGAGGGAGCATTGGCAGGGAGGGCCAGCAGATGGAATATCTGGACACCCGCCACCTTGCGGAACAGTTCCATTTTACAGACCCTGCGGAACTCTAATAGGTCCCGCAGGGCTCCAATCTCTAGGCTGTATTTTAAATTACCCCTCTCCTTCCCTGCACTTGGGCGTCTTCTGTGCGGTTGGCTCCACCTCCCGTGGTAGCCATTTTGTGGTTGGCTCCACCTCTCGCAGCAGCTGTTTTGTGGTTGCACCTTCCCCACGTGTCAGAATTCCAAAGGGGCCCACAGGTT